GTATTAGTTAACAAGCTATGATTCGTGTTCTGACGGTGGTTTCGTCTCGATCGGAACAGCGGTTTTGAATATCGCCAAGTGTTTTTTCGCGCTAAATCGCTACACTACGCCATCCGTGAGACGAAACCCGACATATTTGGTATCGTTGGACTCGCAACGATTAGGACCTCAAAAATATGACTCCCGTGAAAATAAGTGTACCACACCCAAAGTTATAAGCGTTTGAATAAAACATTCACCACTAGGTGGCGCTGTTTCGAAACTTCTCAGGCTCCTTCAGGGCATCGTACTGATGAGCCATACCGAGTTTCGTAACAATTCGTTCATGCGTTCAAAAAATACAGCATTTTAGCACATAATTCAAAATGGCCGACAGCCAAAATGGCCGATCTGGGAAATTGGATATCGGTCGACTCGGCATGATGCCTGAATCTAACGAGACCAAGTTTTGATTTTTGGAGAAACCGTTCAGAAGTTACGAGCAAAATAGCCATTTTTCATATCTCCGGACCACTAGGTGGCGCTGCGCCGAAACGCTGCATGTAGCCTCAGGTCATGCTTGTGATTACATGTACCAAGTTTGGTCTGAATAGGATGAAGCGTTGCGGAGATACAGCCTTACGTCTGTTTTCGCAAGCGTTACGTAAAATTTAGTTTGTGCGTTTATCGAAAACCGTTATTCGAATCATCTTGAATTCCATAACTTTTTGTCAGCACTGCCTGGAGATGATCCGGTGCGATTTTGGTGAAAATCGGACAAACCGTCTAGGACGAGTTCGCAAAAGTAGGTTTTTTGGAAAATTCAAAATGGCGGCCGTTTTTTATGACGGAAAATGACGTCATAGGGTGCGATCGAATCGGCATGAGCTCAGGAACAAGAGGAAAAAAGAATTTTGTTGATAGGCCTTACGGTTCAAAAGTTATTAGCATAATAAAAGTGAAACTTTGGACAGTTGGTGGCGCTAGGGAATGAGTTAGAGACACCAAAATTGGTGTATTTAAAGTTGGGACTGTCCTCTATCAGAATGTCAAACCAAAAACAACTTTCCCGCAAACCGGTCTATGGGCTGCCATAGACGCCCAGTCGGAAGAAGAATAATAATATAATAATAATAAATATAGCTGCAAGCAGCCATTACCGGGCCAAGCGCAAGAAGCGGCAACATATGCCAAAATGGCAAGGAGTGGCAGACCAACTGCAGCAAGGAGCAATTAAGGGCATTTTGAGAGAACTTTGGGCAAATGGCTAAGAAAATGACATAAACATTAACTTATAAGATCATTTAATGGGTTATCACTTTCGAACAATAGGTGGCGCAGTTACGAAATAGATGTGATGTGGTCAGAGTGAGGTGACAATGACACATGCAAAGTTTGGTGTCTAAATGTGAAGGCATTGCAGAGATAAAGCCTAAATAGTAATTTTGGCAGCATGCCTAAACTTTGATGCTGTGGTATACGAAAACGGTTTTGTCTATCATCGTGCAATTCATAACTTTTAGTCGGCACGGTCTGGAGATGATACGATTCAATTTTCGTGAAAATCGGACAAACGGTCTAGGAGGAGTTCGAAAAAGAAGGTTTTTCAAAGAAATAAAGATGGTGAACAGGAAGTTTGTCTGATTATGGAAACCTGATATCTATGTTTTCGGCATAACCGAAGGAATCTATTAAGATCAGTTTCATTGCAATAGGCAAATTTTTTCAAAAGTTATTAGCGTTCTCAGAAATTAATTATAACTTTTGACCAACAGGTGGCGCTGTCTCAAAATCTTTTGAGTACCTTCAGGGCATGCTGCTTATGGCACACACTGAGTTTCGTAATGTTAGACAAAGCATTTGTTTAGTATAGCATTGTATTTCACAAAACTGTAT